CTATATGTGAACAATTACATAATTAGCTAAATTAGTTCATGGTGTCAGCATATGAAAGTTATATTGTCATTACCTTTTATATGCTATAATTTTAATATTATACTGTAAAAAATCTTATTAGTGGTCTTATTATTAAGTATTTTATAATGTAATGTATAACATATATGGGTATAAGAGTATTTTTTCTTTATTCTGTTGAATTTTTTTTTTTTTTTACAAAAGAAGTGACATATTCGGATGTGATCCAAATTTGTGCCAAGTACTTTTGACTTCCCTAATGTGGGTATTTGTTCAACCTTTCCTAATTTAGATTACAGTATAACTAAAAGCAAACCTTTTTTTAGATTTGGATAGATTTGGAGTGGTGAGAGTATATAATCAGATGTTTATTTTTGTCTGTGTTCCCGTTAGAGAGGTTTGCTCTCCCTAACTGTCCTGATCACCAATGTTACAGGACATGGAAGTGAGGGTAAATCCAAAGTTTTGATTTGTGACCAGAAAAGGAATAACGGGACAATCTTCCAATAAGACACTCGTTCTAACAGGGGATTTCCCTAATATTTTAAAATGTTTCTCTCAGGCCAGAAAGTAAAGGGAAATCTACCTAATGAGACAAAGATGACAGAAAAGCAAAACAAAAACTGATGGTGGTTTTTATCCTCCTCAACTCTATCCAAAATGAAAAAGAAACATATTTTGCATTCTCATTAATGCAGCCAACCAACCAAATTGTACTCTCACATTATTTACTAAACCCACTTGATGTGTGCAGAGGTGTTGCTTTTTGCATATGGGAGGATATTGTGTTGTGGTATTGTGTTGTCCAAACCACATTTTACTTTACATTACCACAGTGCAGGTTGACTCACAGCTCTCTGTGCAATGCAATGTGGTCCCCTTAATTTATACAGAGCACTAGAATGCACATATGTCTTAGGGGACCAAAATGGATAGATACGAACCATCTGTGTATTGTGGCATGCTGTGCTGAGCAAAAAAAACATAGCTTTGCCCATTGCAGTCTGTATAAGTATGCAAAATGCAATTCCTTTTTCTTACATCTGCTGTTGATATAGTTTATGATTGGTAATATATGAACACCTCACTATGGCTTCTAGCTATCTATGGCAATTTATTAAGACAGTGCAATGAACACTGACAATGCACAAAGTGTATTAAAGGGTATCTATTGTCCAAAAAATTAAATAAATATTACATTTTCATAAGTTCTATCCCACTCCTAATAACCTTATCAATCTAAACGTTTGTAAGCGTACTTAGTGAAGATGCCCAATGGATGTCCTACATCAATGCAGTGACACAATTTCACTCAGCCCTGTGAATATGCACTTCCTTATGTCACTAATTGAACTAAACCTACCCTTGGAACTACAACTCAACGTGTGAACTCAATGTCTGTAACATCATCATTGCTTGCTGGAAGCAATACATGATGGGATATGTAATCTTGAGAAATTGAGATTGTATCACATCAAGCAGCATGGAAAGGGATAAAAAAGCGCACTGGGAATCCAGGAAATTGTTGAAAGTGATGGGCAGAAAGAAGGCAGCACTCACTACATAAGAGATTTTTTTCAAGTAAACGTTGATTGCATTATCAAAAACAACCCTAGTATGTATTCCTATTACAATGCTGATGTTATAGCACAATAGTATATGATGTGACTTTAGAACTCCTTTAACCTATAGAAAACAAATAAGAATGTTTTAACAATCTGACAAATCACTGAACAATATCTATGAATTAATGCACATTGCTTTTTTCCACTTTTCTTTTGAAAATTCATGATATTTTGCAGCTGATAGCACAACAAATAAGTTTTTCTCCTGCCTATCCTACCTACCGATTGTGTGCGTCTTTTTTAAATATAATAAATAATTATTTAGCTCTGTATAACATATATTTTGCTATAACAGCAGATAGCAGCAATGTGAATTTGGCAAAAAAATATTATAAAACATATGCTATTTCCCTTTATTGTAAGCATTTTTAATCATACTACCTATACATTTTATTTTAAAGAATCATTATTATACTTCATTTTCAATTATACAGATTTTTCATTAAGAAAATACACCTGGTCATATTTACAACATACAATAAATAAGTTGTTTTACATAATAAGGCAATATACACCATGGTTAAGTCTTTTGTGCAACTGCATCAAGTCAGAAAATGTAATAAAGCACAACAGTATTATGGATCCAAAAAAGTACTTTTATTATCATTAACTGTTCTTGTACTTAACCGTTATGATAATAGCCAATGTTTGTACTCGATATGCTAATATATGAGCCTCACAATAAATAGTAAAGCACATTAGCTACACCATAAAAATAAGCACAAGTGGCACATGGAAATAGAATAATTACAACACAGAACATTATTTTATTCTTTGAAGATACGCTGTTTCGTAAAAAAATAAAATAAAGACTGCTAGCAGGCATATAGCAGAGGCACCTAGAGGGGCCTGCAAATGCCTGCAGCAGCTGTTATTGACCTCTTCTCTGCCCCAATACAGGCCTGTTCTTAACAGGTTAAGCTCTGAAAGCCCACACATTCCTATTGGCCCTTCCTTATGATGGAATGTCAAGCCATCCAATCGGAATATGAGGCGAGCACTGCCACTACCTGGGAGAACTGCAGCTTTGACTGTTCAGAATAACCTGATACTCTGCTATAGTAGGGGACAGTAAGGCTCCATCCACACCTAAGCATCAGTGTTTCAGGCGTTTTTTTCAGGGTTTTTATTTACGCTTTTTTTAAGTGTTTAGGTGTTTTGGTTTTTTTTCAGCTTGTGCTGTCCTCCAGTTTGTTCCCTGGTGTTTTTTGCAGAAGAAGGCTGGCTCTTGCGTGACAAACATGCAACAGAAAATGTTTGTATCACACATTTCCAGGCATTCCCATTAAACTTTATGGGGCCAAAAGTGCAGATATCTGCAGAAAAGTAGCTTGAGTACTTTTTCCAGTAACACACATTTTGCTACAGACAACATAACGCTCAGGTATGAACAGTCATTGCCATTGAAAACAATGGGATTCCTTGTGTTCAGCATTTTGTAGCTCCGAGCTTTAAGTTACAAAATGTCTAGGTGTGACTAAGAGTTGTTACAGGCATATACCTCTATAACTATATAAGTACCTGTGCTCTTATACCTGCTAGAAGCTTTCTGTTTTAAAAAGTGACAGCATCACTTTAATGGCTGAATTTCTAATCACATACAAAATATGAGCTAACCAAATTGGTTCTTCTCATATTGCTGCAGGCTTTTAAAAACTTGAATTTATATTTGTGGTGGGATCTTCATGTTATAGTAAACACATTGTTTGTTGTGTAGACAAAATATACTATACAAAAGCCACAAAAGATTTAATTTTCATCAAGAAATTTCAAGTGGCATATTATCTTCCTTTTGAACTTCTACTTCAAAACTATTCATTGAGCAACAGCACTTTTAGAATGACCAAACCATACAGCATAATAACTAAGACAAAGAATATACTTTTACTTTTATATAGTCAAGTCTGAAGTGCAATTTTTAAGAATTATACAAATAGTTGGTAGTTGCAACCTCCCATTTTATGGTAAAAAGACCCTTTGAAGTTAAGTAACTTTACTAGCCTGCCCTAGACAAAATGCTGATATAAAGTTTTTGTGTCTTATTTTTTATTTTTTTATTTTCAGCTATGGCTTTCAGGTGATGATATATTACTATTTACAGCATATCTAAACCCAGAAACAAAAATGCAATATATTGCAGCTTGCAAGTCATTAGTTTTATTTTTACAAGCGTTTTTCCTTTATTTTCATTTGGTATTCCTGACAATAAGGCCTCATTCACACCGGAAACGGCCCGCACATACAGCTCCGTATTGGGCAGCTCCCGGGAAGGACAGGTGCTGCATGTGATTAGTATGCAGCCCCCGTCCTTCTCTATGGGACTACGCGGTTGTACACCCCCTACGCTCACCTCAAGTGCAGGTCAGTAGAGTGCGCGTTTGCTGGCTTGGACACAGACAGGATCCATCGTGTCAGCGTACAAGTACGCTCACCCGCACGGACGCGGGGCAGCAGCCGCGTAGTCCCATAGAGAAGGACGGGGGCTGCGTACTAATCACACGCAGCACCTGTCCTTCCCGGGAGCTGCTCGGAGGTGTACGTGCGGGCCAATTCCAGTGTGAATGGGGCCTTATACACTTTCTGTGCCTGGGTGAATACACCCGTTCCTCCATTGTATCTGTGGAGGAAACCATGGTTGCCAACCAGGCTGGACTTCAAACATATCTTCCTTTCTTCATGTTTATTACATGGGGGATAAGAGGATGAGTACTTCACAGAAGAACAATATTATTGTTTGTGCTTTCAGTTTAGGAAGTGACAAGGACGCTGCATTTCTGGCAAGATCAACAGGTATTTTTTGTTTTCTATAACGTTTTTAGTCTGAAAAATTAAAATGAATGCAGCTACTACATCTAAGGACTGGTAAGCTGCAATATATCACATTTCTGTTCTTGCATTTAGTAATCCTTTCTGTTTCTGAGCAAAGCAATACTTGTAGTTATGTAAATAATCTTTTGTCTTGTTTTCGTTTGTTTACCAGTATGGCTGTTTATATTGGTAATGTTTATATACTTTCAAAATTACATTTTAAATAGAACATACCAATATTTACCATTACAATTGCTGACTTCAGCTAGAAATGGTGAGTATATTAATCATACAAAGCTTAATCACAGTTCATATCTCATACTTACTGTTGACCACAGAAAAACTTGTAAGAGATTAAGAGAGTAGACCATGTATCCAAAGACTTTCTCCGTTTATAACAAAAGAAAATCCATACAACTTCTCAATCTGTATTATGACATTAATTTTTTACATAAAGCATGTCTGCCTGTATGCCATTCAGTAAATTACATTTGCACAATAGTAATTAATATATTAGATACTACATACATGTGTTGCTGTGCCAGAGAAAATATCAACTATGGGCAGTGACAAACCTTTATTAAAAAAAGCTTGGACACTGTATATACCCTACATAAATACAATCATAAATCTTGTCTAATGCCATCAGAGAATTAAAGCCCTGTAGTTATCTGTGTAACTTCTGACGTCATGTCATCCCCTGCAGGAACACCTGAATCCAGAGATGACATTTCCACGGCTAGTCATACCTGATGGTTAGTCCTATCCACCGTGTTGGCAGTGGACACATGGTCACGGGTATTGTGACGCATGCGAGCTGAGTTTTGCTGCTCGATGGTTGAAGTTGTTGGAATGCAAAATTCTCTGAAACACCGCTTAAAGTTCTCATCCAGAAAAGCATAAAGGACTGGATTAAGGCAGCTGTTTGTGTAACCTAGAGCAATGCACACATGCCAGGTCACTGTCTGAAAGAGAGAAGGAGGAATATTGATCAAGGCTTTAATTATCACATAAATGTGGATGGGAGTCCAGCAAACTATGAACACTGCTACTACAACCAGCACCATCCTGGTGATTCTTCTGAGGTTTCTATCCTTCTCTTTGGAGCCAGAGAGCATACGGACACTCTTGAGTCGTAAGATCATCATTCCATAACATACTGTGATGATCAGGACAGGCATGATAAATGCAAAGATAAAGACACAGATTTTCAGAAGGTTGTCCCAGTACCATGATGGATGAGGAAAGATAAGAGCACAGTCGGTTGATCCTAGAGAAAGGTCAAAAGAAATACGTTGATAAAAAAATGTTCTAGGGCTGGTAATGATTAAAATTTTCGTGTTCGATTAATCCAATTTTTTTTAAATCGATTAATCGATTAATTTTGATTAATTATAACGCACATACAGATCCAACTACATTGGCCTATACACATACAGCACAGCAATGAAGTAATACAATGAACTAGGATCACACTAATCCAGCACGTTATTAATCTCACGTGCCCCACTCAATATGGCCGCCGCTTGAGTGGGGCATCTCAGAATAATAACGTGCTGGATTAGTGTGATCCTAGTTCATTGTATTACTTTATTGCTGTGCTGTATGTGCATAGGCCAATGCCTTTGCTGGCACTCGTGCAGAACAAGTACTCACCGGCCCAAGTGGCTCTGTCGGCTAACGAAGGGAAGGGGCAAGGAGTCCGGTGACGTCACGGACATCAACGTCACCGGACTCCTCCCCCTTCCCTTCGTTAGCCGTCACGGACGTTGACGTCACCGGACTTGCTAATTAATAAATATTTGCAAGTTTTTAATCATACTATTAAAAGATTAAAAGTTATTGTTTATTTAAAATATCCTTGTTCGCAGAGCTCATAGTCTATAGTACCTATAGTATTGAGTAATTAAATTCAGTCTGGAACAGCAGTGTTATTCAGGTTTCAGGTAACGTTAATAGACTAGATATGTTGTCATTTGATATCAATTTTTTTTAACATAGCACCTAAATCTCTGGTGCCAAACCTCCAGCCTGCTTGGCTCATGTAATCCTTTGTTGCTTACTGTGAGGCCCTTGGGACCCAGCTGCCAGTAGTGAGTGAAAGCATTGATAAGTAAAAGTGTGTTAACTGCAGTGATCTCTAGCACATCCATGCCATGTCTCTGACCATCTCATGCATCATGTCCCCTGTTGAATTTCCCTAGTATCTAACCATGTTCCATACTATGTACACAGCCTCTGACTAACTTCTATACCATTACATGTAAAAAATATTATGTGCAACCCCCTGGGGATGTTTGGGGCCAAAACTGAGGCTCCTTGTATCTGGAAATGTAACTTTTTCTAAAAACTAGATTTTACAAAGCACACATTATTCAGTAATAGACAATGCTGTACAGGAAGTAGGCAGGAAAGATAGTCACTGGCCATGGCCTAATTAGTGGTGAAGGCTTTAGAGTAGCTAGGAAATACATTCAAGGTAAATTGTCATACATTAAACTATATGTTCAATTTACACAGCTAATGAACCAGAATAAGGATCCTTATTTAAAAAGGGAAAGTTATTTTTAGTGGAGTCAAATAATATGTAAATTGAGCCTATTATTTTTGCCTGTTGCAGTGCGACAATGTTGGGTTCAAGGCATCAAATGTGACAGACACAAATGTTCACACAGGAACAGAGGTAAATTATGCTGCAGAGGGAAATTGGAGATACATCAATGAGAGGCCTGTCACCAGGCTTTAGCAGTTGGGCCTTTATTAATTTTCTTTTCTCTGTAGCGTGATCTCATTTCTCATTTCATCATCACAGAATATCACAATGTTTCTAGACCTGTCATAGTAAAATGCACATGAAAAGAAGGCCAGACCTAAGAAGGGCAGGACTGAACATTAACTCATGGACTGTGGTCTCTGAAAGGACCCTGCTTCACGTCCCCTTGGTCTCCAAATATTACTTTCTGTCTGCTCAACATATTAGTTGAAGTACTGTATATCTAAAGCAAAACTGTTTTCTATATCCTACTGTAAGCTTTTGGATTCTTTCATATGTTTCATACTGCAGCTGCTTACAAGCTTCTTCAAAACCTGCCATGTCACCAAGGCACCACTATAGAGGTCAACAAGAGCAACCGGTAATCACTGTGGGGAACACATGAGATCAACTTTCCAACAAGTGTTGCTGACTTTATGGAACAATTCTTCAGCAAGGTTGCATCATCCTGTGGCATCCTGTGGCATGGACGGCATGATTGGTAAGTATTTACAGTCTTCTTTTAGGTAACACATTTATTTAGACTAATATAGCTGACAGGGTCCCTGACAGTGTCACTTTACATGGGCATACCTTTATGTTCATTCCTGAAAATCTCCCCTGGAACCCCCCAATGTAAATACTGATTTCAAAAGGATAGAGCATAGACACCCCCATTTCCATATGGCAATGTCCAAGTCTGGTAAATTACTGCACTAAGCTTTGCATTTTGGGTTGCAGTATGGCTGTGCCTATGCTTTTTTTTATCCAGTATTTCATTTAACAGGTAAAGTATGTATTTTCAGTTACTGTGTTAGTCTTCATAATTCAAAATGCCACTGCCATAAACTAAATAAAAAAAATCAACAGAAGAAACTGCGTAACTGTAAGTTTAAAAAAGCTAATCTCCATGCTTTATGTCCTGTCTCCCCCCAATGCTCTCTTCAACTCTCCACAAAAATAATAGATATGATTTTTTCAACGTGGCTCGTTCCTAGGCTGAAAACTAGACATTGTTTTTATTCCAGTGACATCTAGCTGTCTGTCTGGCAGATAAGTGAACATGCTACGCCTTACATCCTGTGCTCTACTAAACTATATCTCTCAATAAACCTCAGCCTACACACAAACAGTGTGTGGGTGGGCATTTGGGAGCAGTGGATGGTGATGTGGACAGGGGCCCCTGTTATTGCAATAGTTGCTGGCAAAAGTTTGTGTTGTACTATTACAAGGTACCTGAGTGCTTCCCTCACCAAAGGTTCTGCACCTCTACTCTGTTGATCTGATTAGCATATTTCAGAACACCTAGTTGTCGAGGTATGCTCGCCAGAACTGCAGAGCAGAGGTGCAGAGCCATTGCTAGAACAGTGTTTAGGGGTTGGTTGTGGGTGTTACTGGGTAACATTATGTAAAAATAGATACCATTCAGTCCCACGCATAGTGTTCCTTACATCCTGATGTTATCTCTGTAGTCTCTGGTACTACATAGGGGAGTAAAAACACACAATGACAGGAAGTGCTGCACCCCTAAGAATTATTTTCAGTGTCATTGGAGATAGGATTTGCAGCTGTGAGGAACATTAATAACAGAGCAGCATTTATAAGGTAATTACATATGCAACTATACTGTATATCAGGGGTGCCCACAAGGTCGATCGCGATCTACCAGTCGATCGCATAGCGATCACTGGTAGATCGCCATGTCCTCTCCTCCCGACGCTTCTCTAGATCCCCGCTGCTCTCCCCAGCGGGTATCGGAAAAGAAGTGAAGGAACCGGCGGCGGGGGAGGGCGGAGGACGGAGCCGCTGTCACAGAACTAATGCAGAGCGGTGAGGAGAGAGAGAGACGCTCGGCCAGGATCTGACAGCCGGCGCCTCTCTCTCCCCTCACTGCTCGTCCGTTCTGTCACAGCGGCTCCGACACCCCCCCACCCCGCGGCTGAAGTGCGTGGCCGAGCGGCAGAGGATCGCTACATGTCAGTCGTATGTACCAATCCTCTGTGCAGGACAAACACTGGAGCGATCGGGTGATCACTCCAGTGTTTGTAAATAACTGGGGACACATAGTACTATGTGTCCCCAGTTATAAATGGATGAACAGGATGTGATTTACATCACGTCCCGTTCATTCATGATTTTCTGAATGGGGAGAAGTACAGAGGCTCCTCCTCATTCAGAAGCTGCTTGATAGTAAATATTTTCCATTAATTTAGAATAGAGGCTGCAGAAAAAAAGATTGAGGTCCCCATGTGCAACGTCGGCCACACGAGTACCACGGGAGGACAGGACGCCGGGACATGTAGGGCGCCCTGGAATGTAAGCCGTCCGACTCCCTGTGTTCAGGTGCGGGAGGGAGTGTGGAGCTGTATTGAAGTCAATGGCATCGCCCACATTGTGATCACCCGCACTCGGAATGCAGGCACATTAGTGCCTGCATTACGGTCCAGTGCGATCTGCAAAAATAGTGCTCGCAGCATTTTTGCGGATCGCACTGGACTGGAACACAGGCACTAATGCAGGCGATCGCACTGTGGGCGAGGGGCCTGCCTGCGGAGCCTGGCTGCGGTGCCATTGACTTCAATGCACCGCCACGCCCCCTCCCACCCCTGAATGCAGGTGTTTTTTCATTGGTAGATCTCAATGAGCTCATCATTTGAAAAGTAGATCTCCAGACAAAAAAGAGTGGGCGCCCCTGCTGTATATAGAGAAGTTGGAATTCCATTTTAGGACTGCAATTTATATTTTATACATAGGTTTTCAGAGTCTAGTACATGTTCATGCCATATACCTATATGTGTAGCAACACATATTTGAATCTGGATGCCTTCTTGAGCTCAATTGACTGTTCTGATTGTGCTATAGCTATGTAAATCATTCCATTATATTCTGTTCTGCAAATAACTAGATTAAAGCTGAAATGTGTGTTTCATGTCCAGAGGAATGATGTACGAAATTAACTGGGCAGCATGTTCTGCAAAATTTCATTTCATTTTCTGTTTTAGCTCCACTTGTGTCTGTAAAATTGCACATTGAGGGCACTGGGATGAATCTCTGTGTGCTCTAATTGATGACATACCATAATATACTGCTCGTTTGCCATCAGATATCTGTTTACGGTGTCTCATTCAGCCATTTACCAAATTTACAATATATCTCTTTTGTAGCAATGTCTAGAACACTTTCAATCATGTTATTAGCATTAAAAATGATTCCACTCCCAAATGCCACATATGAAAGTGATTGATTTATGACACTTGGGGAAAGTGTACATTCTGCTAGAGATTTCATTTTATGTTCGCGTTCATTCCTTCTGCAATTTAGATCTAACTTATTCAACCATTGTCTCTTTTGGTTTACAGAAACAACTTATTTAAATGATGCATCCGAAATTCTGAATTCTATTATGCAGTATAGTTTTCTCTAGTCAAATATAAAAGTATATGCACAATATGGAAACATTTTAGGGCTGCGGAAATTAACGATTAATTTCTCGATTAATCGTTAAAATTTTTGATCAATTAAAATTCTTTTGATCAAAAATGAAAACTCACCTCTCCGCTGGCTTCCGGGTCTTACGGGAGTCCCGTCGGAGATCCGGTGACGTCGATGTCACCGAACTCCTCCCCCCTTCACCTAGTGGCAGCGTCGGCTAACGAAGGGAAGGGGGAGGAGTCTGGTGACGTCAATGTCTGTGACGTCACCGGACTCCTCCCCCTTCTCTTCGTTAGCCGAAGGAGCCACTTGGGCCGATGAGTTTGCCCAAGAAACTTGTTCTGCATGAGCGCCAGCAAAGGCATTGGCCTATACACATACAGCACAGAAATGAAGTAATACAATGAACTAGGATCACACTAATCCAGCACGTTATTATTCTGAGTTGCCCCACTCAAGCATCGGCCATATTGAGTGGGGCACGTGAGATTAATAGTGTGATCCTAGTTCATTTTATTACTTCATTGCTGTGCTTTATGTGTATAGGCCAAAGTAGTTGGATCTGTATGTGCGTTATAATTAATCGAAATTAATCGATTAATCGATTGTAAAAAATTTCGATTAATCGAACACGAAAAATTTTAATAAGTAACAGCCATAAAAAAATTATGTGTACACATGTCTAAATGATTGAGTTCAGGTATTTCCAGGGAAGGATACTGTTAATCCTAAACAATACAAAGACAGCTAGACAATTGTGCACTTCCAACCTTATGGTAACAGTTTGGGGATGGTATTTTTCTGTTCCAGCATTACTATGTTCCTACACATAAAGCCAGGTCCATAAAGACATGATTTAATGAGTTTTGTGTGGAGGAACTTGATCCCTGACCTCAACCATAATCAACACCGAATCAAGTCCCTCAGCAATACCAATATATTTCAGTTGTGGTGAGCTAAACAAATCTCACGTTTGAATCCTCATAACTAAATACTTTTAGGTGTGAATGTTTATATAGAGAATCATATCTTAACCTATTAATTTGGGTAACAGTGTCCATGTTAGAGACATTTTAACTTATTTCCTGTCTCAGGTGATACAAGTAACTGAGAAATAATTTGAAGGAAAATCTCCCCTATAAGTACACAGTTATAAAATCTAACAAAGGTTCTATTCTAACCCTTCACTTATCTAAATGTAAGTACAGGGTTTTGTAAAGAAATATTATTTTTTGTGTAATTCTTTTTGTCTACCCATGCCCCCTTTTTTTCCATTTGCTGGCTCTATGTTACTTGTCTCTCAGTCTGTGTCTCCATCCTATTCTACCTCACGCTGCCTGCTACCACCTATGCATATTTCTTGTAATTAACCTATGTCTATATTTGTCTATTATTTTCCACCATACTCCACAGGATCATTAGTTTGTGGCTTGTCCTAATCTGCAACACCCAGCATTGTTGGTTATTTGCCACTATTGTCCTATTTTAGTTCCAGCTTTTGCTGTCTGTCTTCTGACTGCATATTTCCCCATGTTGATGTTGCTTCTTTTTGCTTGTTAGTTTGTCTGGGATAATCTTCTGTTTTAACTCCATTTTCTGACTTATTTGGTTAATCTGTTTGTTAGTCCTTGCATAGTACCTGTCCTATCCAGTTTCACTTAACCTCATGTTATCTGTCTGTCTGCTGCTGCCACCAGCTAGGCAATCTTGAGAGCACTGTAGCCCGATTCATCAGTCATATTCACCATCAGAAGCCCTGGAGAAAACTGGCACTATTAGGTCTCATATTTGTCATAGTCTGACCAGTTTATTGACAGTGACAGTTTATTGTCTTCTTACTGTTTGTCTGTACACTCTCTGATTAATTTCCTGGCTCTTAACGCCTGTCAGTCTCTTTAGATATTGCTGTTGGTTACATGTCAATATTGCCATCTGCGTTCCTAGCCCTAACACTAGAAGTGTCTTATGGCCCTAATCTCATGCAGTAATCAACTGCTGGCCCTGAAAGTGCATAATACATGAATATTGTTTTATCACAATTCTGAGTTAAAATAATCAAGTTGTTTGTAATTGGTTAACATGTAAAAAAAACATAGTTTATACTCACCTCTCTCATTTTTTGTTGTTGCCATAAACATTACAGGTAAACCAATTGCTGATGACAGAATCCAGTTACAGACATTGACAATTTTGGCATTTCGAGGTGTTCTGAAATCAAGAGCTTTCACTGGATGGCAGACTGCTATATATCGGTCAACACTCATTGTAGTTAGGGTAAAAATACTTGTAAACATATTATAGTAGTCTATCGATATAACAAGTTTACACACAATATTTCCAAAAGGCCATGTACCCATTAGGTAGTTTACACTTTGAAATGGCAGGGTACTTGTTGCAAGGGCATCTGCTAGGGCAAGATTGAAGATGTAGATATTGGTGGCCGTCTTCATTTTGGTGTACCTAGAATGTAACACAAGATAAAAAGGTTATTTCACATTTAGAATTATTAACAGATTATTGACCATCAATTGTAGAAAGCAATCCAATTTTCTGCATGGCCATCTACTTGCATACATACTGTACATGGCTTACTAACAATTTACTTTCTTTCAGGTTTTGCTTTTTAGAAATATATTTATTTCAATACTGTTTAGCATTAAAAATAATATTTTTCTTTTCGAAGGTTCATGTCTCAATGAGATATATTGTGACACTTTTTAAGTATCAAAAATGGCTATTTATGCCATCCTTCTTATTATTCTGGTGCCTCAAAGGTTTGTTGTGAAAATAAATTTTTAGGAAGATGGAAAACCTTTGACCTGTTCGTATGTTAGCACAGCAGAGTCCCCTCCTATAATTTACAGATTGAAATTGGTATTGCCTCTATTTCTATGCATGTAAGCAATCAGTATACTAACAACTGTAGATGAGCAGCTGCCATGAAAATGTAATATTCAAGCTAATCAATTACATGTCACATTTTACATCTGTAGGCGGTCCATTTGGCACCTGAGATTCTATTACGAGACATGTCATGCTGTTTGCTGCCTTGCCCCGGGTGATCTGCCACCTGTGCCATCATGCTGTTAATGGTATGACTTGATAAATGGTATATACACAAAACACCCACTACAAAATAAAGGAAACTGTGTGCCCACTCAGAATTACACCGTAGGAGTATAAAAAAAAATACCAAATACATAGATGTAATTCTAAATGCCCAATAAAAGACTCCAGCCTGGGAAACCTGGAATAAAGATAAGTTAAATAATGGTCTCTCATTCACAATTGTTCTTATATATAAAGAGCTGTTCATGTAATACTCCCAAAGTTGTTTAATGAAAAAATATCTAAAATCTGTTGGTGCTGCAATGGAACATTGTGTGTGCAAATGGAAATAAAGCACCAATCATGCAAAATAAAAAATAATGACAGAAAGGGTTATTCACAAAGGAGCCGAAGGATCTAGACGTAGCTTCAGCTGATCCTTCGACTCACTTCGGCCGCTGGAGCCTTTCGGTTCAGTTGAATTGAAGGGCTGCTGTACGGGCTATTCACAATAGCCCGCACAGCAGCCAAAGGCAGCTGAGTGTCTCAGCCAAGCCGAACACATATGCTTCGAATCGGCTGAGCCGTAGCCAGAGACGAAGCGAAGAGAACGGACTGCCAAAGCAAACCATTTTCCCAGCAAATAACGACTGTGCGGAGCCAGCTGTGATGTAACGGCTGGCTCCACCCATTTGTTGTCCTCCAATGACAGACCAATGTCCTCAGGTTATTTAAATGATCCCCTGCCCATAGGGCTTGTGGGTAAAAAGGCTCTTGTCCCCATCGGCACGGAGATAAGGTGCTTTTCAAGGGGGACCCTGGAAAAGCAGCCCTCCCAGCGCCGAGGGCATGTGGACTGGCATGGTGGGGGGAGCTTGTTCATCACCACCCCCCCCTTTTCTACCATGCCAGGCCTGTTTTTGGATCAAGGGTCTGGTTGGGAAATTTAGGTGGGACCCCACTTTTTCCACCATTTTTGGGGGCGGTGTTTCTCCTTAAAATTCCTACCAGACCTAAATGGCCTGGTATGACTTTGGGGGGTATCCCGCGCACTTTTTTTAACACACTTTTTTTATTATTTCTTTCCATTTTTTTATTATTTTGTTCACTTTTTTACATTTAATTTTTTTTACATTTATTTAAATAATTTTTTAACCTCGGAGGTAACAAGCAGAATAGCCGAAAAATGTTGCCTGTGTTTAGTAACAGATCACAGAATTCACATGGTTAACATTCAACATGCTGAAAAACTCATTTAGAGTCAAATATAATGTGCACAGTAATATTAGAATGTCAAAGTCTCCTGTGTATTGGCATACTATCCATCAAAGTGATATATTAGTCGATCATACCCAAGTTTGGTTTGCGGCAATAAATCCATTCCCTCAAAAAGGAATACTTACAAGCACATATGAATAACTGCTATAATTATGAGCACAGTTACATAGCAATTTGAAAGTGCATGGAAGAGTTTCTGCTTTGTAATAACCTGTAATTGCTAATTTTTGTCTAGGAGTATTGTGTAAAGGACTTTTCCTTACCTGATCCCTGTTGCCGCAGGCTCCAAGATCTGTGCCCACAGCCTTCCCTTTTCTCCAGCAGTCGGAGTCTCACTGACATAATAACATCTCAAGCAGGGCCCATTGCCCTGCATTATACCTGAGGAGACCAAGGAACATTCCACAGACTGGGAAGATGAGGTGAGTGCTGACTGCTAGGAGGAGTGTAGATCATTTACACAATACCCCTGGACAAAAATGGGCAGTTAACTATTGCATTGCAAGGGTAGCCCCACTGCAAGGGTAGTTTTTCTCTCCTAGATTACCGGTAGCAACAGCTACCAACATTTGATTTTCAGTAGCGTTAGGTACATGAACCAAATGTCTCCACTGAACATGGTTTGAACCTTTGCTGGAGTTGAATGCCTACATGTGTACACTACACAGCATCTTAGTTGCTTTCTTTGTCATAGACTGTTACTTTGGCTATTACAAAGCAGAGACTCTTCCATGTGCTTTTAAATTGCTACATGACTGTGCTATCCAGTATAATCACCCAGGATTCTCAGCCAGAGGTCATGAGCAGTTCCAGGAGGCAAGTTCTTGTACTGGGAAAGAGCTGATTTTGCGGTTCTTCCCATGATTTCTGGATTTGGCATGGGATCCTGGAACTGGGAGATTTCTAAGAGAATAGGGAGGGATGAAATCTCCATTCCTGGGGCTGTCGTTTAGTTGTGGCCAACAAGTAATGATTGCACACCTGGGCACAGAGCCGGATTTGCTCTCCCTGCTGCCCCAAGGCCAGGATCCGCAATGTGCCCCCTCCCCGCCAACCGAACCCCCTCTCTCCCCCAAATCAACAGAGAATGGCAACCGGATGGCAGGGGCGGCAGGGTTAGTTCTAATTTTTTTGTTTCTTTATTTTTTATTACTTTTTTATCACTTTTTTATTTTTATTTATTTTTAG